CTCTCTCACTCTCTCTTACTTTCTATTGTAAAAAATATAAAACGTAAAGAATTTAATTCTTTTATATAATAAGAATTTTGATATATATATATACGATGAGAATCACGTTCGAGTTATCATCGTTCATATCTCTCTTTGGAGCATGATCGAACCAAAGCATAACTAATTGGATTAAGGATTGGTTGGAAATTGATGGATTATAAATAAATAGAAATATCGGATAAAATTAACGATAATACTTGTAATAATCATAATAACGATAGTAGCAGCAGTAGTAACGATGGCAATATTATTAATTACAGTAATGTTGTTAACAACGGCGTCACGTGCGGCAAGACTTCCGATATAGTTTAATGATTGATGATTTATAATTGTAATAAGGCGACGCCAAAGGTAAGTTCTCTGTACCTCCGAAAGATGGATAAGTAAAATCGGAAGTCAATTATAAACGCGCTTTGCCATATCGTCCCTATCATAAATGTTATAATGTAACTAATAGTATCCAGCACATCTTCGGTCCTATTCATAAGATTTATTTATTTTCTTTGTGTGTGTTTTCTTTGTTGTTGTTGTTATTCTTTCTTTTTTCGTCGATGATGTGTACGAAGTTACACAGGAGAAGTCGAGTCACTTTTAATTGATTTTCTCTCCTTTCACCGTTCCTCTTTCTTTTTCTTTTTTTTTCCAGAAGAACGATACTAAAATATATAGTGAACGAATGCGCGATCGACCGGTCACCATACTAATGCATTAAGATTAACCGCAACGAATAAGATCTGTGTGTGTGTGTCTCGCAAACGTGCGCGCGCGCAATCACATTCTCCACGGTAATTGAATCTCATAATTATAACGTTACATCATTTTTAGCCTACCATTTTGAATGCATTTTGCGCATGCTGCTTCATCATCATATAGTCATTATATTATCATCACTATCGCGCCCTTTTACTTTCTCTCCTCTGAACCTTATTACACGAACATATTTATTCTCATCATTAAAACCGCGCGTAGAACAGAATCATATACATGCACATACATACGCGCTACTTGTATACCTCCTAACATACACACCATATACATCACATCATATCATATCATATATCATTTTTCTATCGATCAAAGCAATGGAGTCGAATACGACAGACGAACATCTGATACATGGAGCGAACATCGTATTAAGGCTTAATTTTATTTGTTCGTAAATGTTAATTTCTGCGTGCGTATTTCCACAAGCCCTCATTTTAATTTTTTCACCTTTTTCTATATTTTTTTTCTTTTTTTCTTTTATACGCACGAAATAGCATACACATTGATAGATGATACTTTCGTTCTTTCTCTTTTTCTCTCTCACTCACTCTCTCGCTCATTCATTCACTCACTCACTCACTCATTCTCTTTATCTACCAATTTCTATCTTTCTTTTTTTATTTCCACGAAGAAAATCCGTATTCGCTAAGTATTCCGGGCTGATTTAAGTAATCACTTCATGAAATACCACGTTATTTTTTTTCTTATATCGCTTTTTTTTTTTTTCTTAATATATATGTATCGCTCTCGTTCTTCCGCCGCTTAAATTCTGCTTCTTCACTTTCTTTGTCTGACCTCGGAATCTTTGTTAGGCGTTGGTTTGCTGCAAATAACAAAATTATAGATGAACAAATAGTTAAAGGGACTTAGCAATAGGGGAAACATGAAATTAGAAATCCTGTGTTGATATTGTGTTGGACAATGAAAATCTTTATCCCGGATAAAGATTGGTAATTTAAAATTAATAAAAAAAAAATCTAACGTAACATAGATAGGTAATAAATTCAAGGTTAAATAATTGACTATCTTTGACACTATTCATCTTTCATCATTAAATACTGTCAAACTTAAAATCTTAAATTTTCATGTCATACAACATGTAGAATTACACTTTAGTGTTATTGGCAGTATTATAAAGATCGTCTTCCCTTTTCAAGGGAATCAAGATTTAGAGAAAAAGATAAGAATCCGTAAGAAATTCTTATACATGATCATTCATTCCATTTGATTGATGGAATAAAAGATTCCATAGATGTGATGAATTTCTATTAATCGCGATAGCGATTTAAAGGACGAGAACGTCATGGGAATTCTCGAGAATTCTCTGTAAATGGAACATTAATTTAAAGATATTCGTACTTAATTATTCCGGTTTCAGTTTTGGTTCAGGTTTAATTTCAGCTGAGTCTATCGAAGGAGTCGAAGAAGCTGGGAGGGATACTTGCAGAGAAGGTTCGTTATTATCAGACTTAGAGGCCTCGGGACTGTGTGAAGAATGTGTGTTCAAAAATAAAAAATGAAAAAAAAAAAAATAAAACAATTATAAATGTATATGATGTCGATAAAAATAAAGAAAATATAATGATTTGAAATAAAATGAAACTAGACTCACGTGTCAGGACTTTGCTCGGTATCGGACTCGTCAAGTTCGGCCTTATTTCGTTTCTTTTCGTAAACGAGAATGATAGCACAGAGTACTACGACCTCACCGCAGATACCAAGGAAGGGCCAGAGTGCGGCAAGTTTGTCCTTGACCCTAAGTAAGGAGACAGCTTGCGCGGAATGACCCTCCGTTGTGTCGGACCAATTGTAAGATACCCTACAGTAAACCTTACCGCGATCGTTCATCTCAATATTTTCGACGGTCAAAACGGCACCGTTAATTCCTTTCTCTTGATCGCGCGTAATTTTGACTCTACCCTTGCTAGTGGTATAATTTTGATCGCCAAACGTCCATATGATCTTCACACCTGGACTGTGTTTACCGTTACATACCAAAAGCAATTTCTCACCTTCGACGACGCTTACCGATTCGGGTAAGATAACGGACGGTTTTGCTGTAAAATGTAATTATACAAAATTATGTTTAATATGTTTTAATTAGGGGATAACTAATAAATATATAATCAAATGACTTTTTGTAGAAACGCTAGAAAACAAATGATCACTCACGTACGATCCTGTAGTCTGTCGAAACATTGCCTACTTTACAAGAATAATTTCCATAAACGACAACATCGTCAACTTTCAATACTTCCAAGGTGCTAGTCTCGTTATCTATTTTGATGAGGTCCTCTTTACCAACCAGTGCCGTCAATATCGGTACTTTTTCCTTATACCATGCTACTTTCTCTCCGGAGCTTCGATTAGCACACTCCAAAGACAGAGGTACCTCCTTCTGTGTAAGTACTCGAATCTTCACATCTACCGACACAACGAAAATTCATTAGTCTATATTAGTCAGAGTATACAAACGTTGTGAACGTATTTTCTCTACGCACAAAAATAAAACAAAATATTCTATAAACATAGATCATTTAAAGCTTTATTAAAAAGTTATAACGTAAATTGTAAAATTGTTTAAATTTTCTGTTCAAAGATGATACTCAAGATCATCTAACCTCATTCCCCTAGATTTTTATTTGCTTGATGTTATGGTAAAATAAATTACGGATGCAATAGTAGAAATTAATAGAAATTGACAAGAAATTCGTCATGTTCTTAACAGCATACTACAACAGTGTCAAAATTGTATTCGCGTAGGTGAGAAACATTTTGAACAGCATAGTTAAACAATTTTACAATTTATATTATAACTTTTTAATAAAGCTTTAAATAACTTATGCTTATATAATTGTTTATTCTAACTTTTATGCATAGAATATCGTCACAATGTTTGTACAAAACAATATCTGATACCCTGTATATGTATGATTCGTGAAAAAAATTGGGCTGTTGGACCGAACGGATCAGGTCTCGAACCATGTGCTATCCAAAACCCTCCAGTCAAATTCTTCACGAATATTTATTTTATTTGGCATGGAGATGATCCCACACACATGTATACATATATATATATATATAGATATTTCATATATCTAATTAATAATAATTAATTATATATATTAATAACAATATATAAATGAATATATATGATAGTATATCATATATATTATGATTTTTAAGTTTTAATTTATATTTAAAGTTTATTTAACGATGAAATAATTAACCGATGGGTTTCTATTTCTAATTGGAGCTAACTAAATTTGATTTGAATTATTTACAAAAAAAGCTTTTCTATTAATTCTTCGACTAATGTTCTTACGAACATTATCATTTAACGTACTTACGTTCTATAGATACACATATGGTCGTGTAATCGTTATATTTACATTTCTAATAAACTAGATGGTAATAAAATGGAATCTAATGTTCTATGCAAGAAAAACGTCGAGCTAAAGGTTATAATACAAGTCTATTACACGACGGGTGATTTAAATTTTCCGTGCGAGCCGTAAAGTGCGAAAAACGAAAGCCCTTCGGAAGTAGGCTAGATATCGATAAATCGAAGAAGCGCTGTATTTAGAATCGATATGTTCTGCTTCCGTTATAGAATCACCATGAGAAAGAGACAGAGAGAGAGAGAGAGAGAGAGAGATAGAAGGATTTTATATTAAACTTTACGGCTCACACAAAACGTGCACTATTTTTAGCAATCTGAAAGGGAAGAGTATAAAAAGAAAAAATGGAGAGAAACAGAGACAGAGATGATAAAAAATGTTGTTCTTTTTTTTAATGATATTAGTACCTTTTATACTCGAATCTTATCTGTTACGAATCAACATTTCTGTTATCAGTGTTTGAAGATAATGTAATTTCGATGTCGAATTATTTACGATAAAATGAATAAGAAAATATTATACAAATATATATAATGCGTAAATATATATTCTAAATATTAATTAGGATCTTCAAAATCGTCTCTGACTTTTCCTCAAATACAACAAAAAAAAAAAGAAAAAATATCACCGTCTTGTGTGTAATCGACGAAAGCATAAAACTTTTATCGTGATACCGTGCTATCTAGGATATGTAATTATTATCGATATCGCTTGACATTATTGTAAGCTCCCTCGTGTAGGGTGTCCCAGTTATTTTCCGCAAAAATTGACTAACATATTTTATAAATCAAAATAGGAAAAAAAATTATATATATACAAATGATTCATTTTAACAAAATTTTATGTTTATAAAACATTTGTTTTTCCTTTATTTTTACTTATAAAATATTCTAGTAAAATTTTGCGGTAAAAAAAGTGGGACATCCTGTATAAATAATATTTCGAAATTAATTAGCACGGGTGGATGACGTTCAGGGTATATAAAAAAATATCTAGAGACTACTGGTGATCACTATTACATTAGATTGGTTAATAAATCATGGTTTTTTGCGATGTTATTTACTTATTAAAAAACTCCACGAACTTATCGACCGACCTAATAAACCAAGGTCACATTATAAAATCCCTAATTATACATAAACTTTATTAGTTAGATTAATCGGAGAATTTAGATGAAGTTTTTTTTAAATAATAATTTTAATTAATTTTTGAAGTTATCCGCGAAAGTAATTAATCGATATTTGGAAAATTTAAATAGCTTGGAATTATAACTTAAATTAATGTAAATTATTTTCTACTTTGTATTAACAATAATAATAATATTAATAAGGATATTAATAAGGATTTAAAAAAAAAATAATAGATAAAAAAATATATAGAAGATTATATGTCAAAGACGTGATTTTCGTATCATAAGACAGAGTAATGGACAATTACATATACGGCCAATTCTTCGTATATTTATTGCAACTTTTATTACAAGAAAATAAAGCGTAAGAAAACGAAACAAAAGAAAAAAAAACAAAATTTTATAGATTTTACATAATTTTTAAAACATTATCAGCACTTATATATATGTGTCAGTATTGTTAGTTCATTGTCATACCGACACCTATATATATGTATAAAATAGAAAAAAAAATAATCAATTGTTATCATTTTGGTTCATTGTAAGAGTTAGTGTTAGATGGGGTCAAACTCTTAACATATTAATAACTACTAAAGAGTAGATTTTTGGCAACGTATATCAAGCTTACGTCGCAACTCGAAATATGCAAACCGAACGGCACGCTGTCGTTTAATTTTTAATTAATTACACCACATTTTATAACGGATTGCTTCGAAGAAACAACCAAAAATAATGTCGTTGCAACGTTCACAAACGCAATGACAAATAAATAAATAAATAAATAAAAACAAAAAGTAAAAAAAAAGAACGTTTCGTCAATAAAACAACATACATTAAACAATAAAAGCTTTTTAAGCGTACTTCCCATAGATTGGGAAAAAAAGAAGAAACTAAAATAACAATCGACTTTCATTAATTTTTCATCACATACTTATGTCATAAAAATTAAATATATACATTTTTCAAATCTCATTGCATTATCTTATATGCCTCTCATAAATATCATTAAAAAACATAAATCTTAAAAACGAAATTAGATATGTTTTAAGATATTTAAATCGCTAATACTGCTATCATTATATCGTAAAACATCTTTATAAATATTTTTAAGCAAATGTAGCTCGTTTTAAAATCATATAATTGTAATAACATTTTGAAGACACATTTATAATTCTCTATAATTAAATTTGTAATTTTTCTAATTGATGCTACACAATTAATCGATATTTCTTTTTATTATTATTCTTAAAAAACTTCATATATCAGATTAATATCTTCATAGAATAATCTCAAATTTAGGTCACACTTTGTACAATTAAAAAAATATTATTCAATTCCAAAAAGCATGCAAATATTTTTAACGACACGTTTTTTTTTACATGAGAAAACGTTAATTCACGTAAAAGTATTAACGAAAAATAAAAGGATTATTTATTAATTATTTTATTAATTTTTTTCTTGCGTAGAGTTTATCCATCGACATCACCAAACTGGCCCTTCCAATGAAGATAAAACCTTTCAAATCTAATTCTAAAATTAGAATGTCATTGTATAAAGATGTGAAAGAGGATTATTAGTCAAATAACGAACATTGATCATTAATCGAATTATTACGACAAAATAGTGGTGGTTAGGTGAACGATAATTATTTCCTATGAAATGTCATCTTATGTCATAGAAAAAATGAAATCCAACTTCAGTGAACGGAATGAAAAAAACATGTTCTTGATTTGTCGATTTTTGTGTGTGTAAATGTATAGGGGGTGTCGATAATATTTAAGAGATTACTATTTTTGTTTCATGCAAAGCACGCATATAAAAACAAATAGAAAAAAAAAAGAGAAAAAAAGTATAGGAAAAAAATGGCAAATTATTTTTTATAGGCAGGAGGTATAAATGGTATAATAACAATTCTACACGACTCTTAAAGCCATGAGCCACACTAACGTTTAACTACTTTCTAAATTACAATGTACTAAACACGTAAGTAAAAGCACGTAATAACATCTCTTAATACGATGGTTACCAATAGCGTCACACATATCCGTGACACACCGAGTTTAATTAAGAATCCAGCGTCACACACTTGTTTTCGCAATCAACACAAAAAATAAGTCATAAGCTATGTTTGGAATCTCTTATTTGCGACTGGATAACAAACGGAAAGAATTAAAAAGGCATTCGTTTGAAAAGAATATTTCATACTTTTATTGACACACTAACTCAATAATCAAATGATTATATCATGAACTCGTCACGATATTATAAATTAGAAGATCTCAATAAGAAAAAACTCGATTGCATCCACATGCGATTCCAATATCCAAAACATAGCTTCCGAATGTCTTTTAACTTATCTAGGTATCCTCAACTACTTCTCGTATTCCTCGAGTAGTCTCGAGTACCTACTTTTTATCCGAATAAAAGCGAACGAGTAAGAAGAGAATCCGCCAGTGAATTGGGATAGGTAGTCTAACTCATCCCCCTTTCAATCAATATTAAATAGAATAATTTCAATAGAAATTAAAAATTGTTTAGCTTACGCTACCGTCACTGGCAAAGTCGAAACATTGTTTAGATTTGTTGAGAATCGCAATGAAAAGAAAGAGATATTAGAAAAAAAAGAAATAAAAAGAGAAAGAGAGAGAGAGAAACACATCGGAATACATAAAATGTAACAAATATGCGACCATGCAAAGAATAACAATGTAATCTTACATAGATATAATACATACATACATTGATTTAAGCGTCGGCACATAATTTGGGATTTGACATAAGTAAAAATACACAATTGCAAAAATAAGATAAAAGAAGAAAGAAAAATGTAGATATAAACAAAAAATTTATGAAGAAAGAAAGAAAGAAAATGAATCGCGTGTTCGATCTACGAACCGAAATATAGAAATAGATGAAAAGCGTCGGAGCTGTCGGGCGTGCACTTGTAGTCGCCTTCATGGAACTCCGTGGCCTGAATTGCTGCAAGCTCGCTTCCTCCGGTTTTGACCTTCGAACGGACGACCAACTGACCACTCGCCAATTCCGGCTCGAGAGTTTGACCATTTCTAGTCCACCTAATGTTATCGTCCGGCTGGAGGCCGCTGCATTCAATACTCCAAGGTTGACCCTTGTGTACGAGCCTCGGTCCCGTATAGTTCACTTTATCGGGAATTACAATACACAGACATAAAAGACAGAGATACATCGAGAAAACACGATGATGTTTTGTTTCATGGAATACTGGGCTGTTAAGGAAGGAATAGGAATCTGATTGTTGTTGGTTAACACTAAACCTACCAGCAGTTTATGGATACCTAATTATATCCTAACCGGTCATCTGTGACCGGTTTTTAACAAGTTTCATTTTTTACTATTGAATATAGAAATCAGGGATATCCACCCTTGTGATTTTCTCTTGAGTCACAGTAGAAGAATACAAAATTATTTTGCAATGCACATTATAAAAATATTAATTCTAATAACATGGGTCAGCACAAAAATTAGTAAATAATGTAGAATATATGTTTTAAGAAAATTTACAACTTTTTATTGGGTCGCATTTATTATACTGTTAAGTCGCCTGGGGGCTTGTAGGGTTGGACAGCCCTGATGTAGATAATGTTCGATTAGGTATTAAATAATAATTCAAATGATATTTATAATTATAATCGTCATAAAATAAAATTTAAAAAGGCAAAGCATTTGAATGCAAAATTTTCATTCTACATATATAACTGATTTTTCAACCTATTGCGGTATATGCGTTTAGTGTTAAACATAAAAGGATTTTGTTCTTGTTGAGAATTTCAATGAGTTTGATACGGTAACTGTCGGAGAAAAAATATTGTTTTGCTTTATTGTGTTATCCTAAATAATAAAAACTATAATTGTCATCACGACTCCTTGTTAAATCATTTTATATCAGGAACTATCAGTCATTTCTAATCTATATATTCTGTCTGAAATATAAATGGCATTGTCTATAACTGTCGAGAAAAAAGGGATTTAAAAATTTCTTTATCATGCTAAAATTGTCGGTAGGCGTTCGAAAACTTATTGTTAGCTAGCTAGTCCACTTCTCAATTTTGAACATCACGTGACTAATTTCGAAAACAACCTTATCGTATCGTATCTATTTGAATGAACTTTGGTGTGTAATCTATAGAACTTGATCTTTTAAGTCGAATAAAAGGAATATTAGAAGAAGAAAGTAGTAAAATCTACTGATAAGATTTTACAAGAATAAGAGGGTCATCGACTGGATTATTAAAAGAAACGAATCAGAATTTTATTGTAACTGGTGCCATCTAGAAATAGGACGGTACATTATTCCGAAACTACGAACTGTTTCGTCAATGTGCGCAGTACTCCCTAGCAAATATTTCAAACTAGCGCATGTGTGAGAGAAATAGAGAAAACCCGAGCACGTGATTAAATCAACACGAGCTTCGAACAAATTCGGACATGCCAATATCAAGATTTACCTTAACTCATGTCACTAGAAATATGTTTTACTCTTTTTTTACATTTTATTTTAGTTTTTATTAATATTTTGTTTTTCCAAAAAACAGTTTAACTGAATGCCAAACATTATTATGGATCCTAGTAACAAATTATTAACAACATTACTGATAGTTCATTCAGTAATATTTCGAAATTCTAAAAAAAATTCGACATAAAAATTAATAAATAAATTTAAACATAAAATAATCGATTAATTGATGCATTATCGAACGATAACGATATTATCAACATGAATACATCATCAACGATATGATCAACGTGATATGTCACGTGAACTAAATTAACGACCCTATAAACTCGATACAAAGAACGACAATCAACCAATCAATTTATTAATCAAATGAACTATTTTTAATTGGGATCAATAACGGCTTGTCCACACAACACCCAAAGCCACGAGATTCCTTCCTCTGATCTACTTCAATTTTTTTAACGGACTTAACGCGTATACTTATTTAGATAAATCTACACGATCACAGTGGAAGAGAACAATTTAAATTTTGTCATGACGTCAGACGTACATAAATTTAAACGCACCTGATGATGGCTGACATCAAAATATTAAAATATGAACAATAAGAACAACAATAATAATATATTAATTATTCAACGTTCCGAAAAATAGAAAAAACGTGGCAACACTGCTAATTTTTAAAATTAACTACAGGGTATATCTGTCTCTTGTTTTTGTAGTATCTCTAATCTTCTCTTTATTTCTACCTATCTCATAAAATATACTCTAGCTGCTTGTACTGAATACAAAACTGCAAAACTATAGTCACATATTTAGTTTTCAGCTGAGTACAGTGTTGCCACACTTTCTTATATACTAGTTGATTTATCGAGTAAAAACTTGATTTTCGGATTGTTTGTAATTTTTTCTTAATTGTTTAGTGAATGTCAATAAAACTGTGCAAAATTGGTTTAAAAAAGTTTAAGTTACGTAAAATAAAGATTCAGAACACTTTTGGTTGCTTTTAATCTTATATTATTTATATGTGTTTAGGTTATGTGACTGAATCGCCGTAAGACCAAATGTAAAATAACAATTATTTTAAATTGCAATAACTTTTAAACGACTTAATGGATCAATTTGAAATGTTTACAGTGGATTAAGTATGAAATAAATAACAAAAAGAGATTTTCATTCTCTTTGTAGGATTTTGACATATCTCCCACCAAAGATCCTTAAATGGCTAGACAAAAGTGCGCATGTTACGCATCACACGTCATAGCTGGTCAATAAGATACTTCCCGTTCTCAACGTTGCCACGTCATTAGAGAAGAAACATCACACACGCGCGCGCACACACACACACACATAGAGCATGTGCGCGTATAATTAGGTTTGGGAAAAAGAAATTAAAATAAACCTTAAAATGATGGATCTCTTTTTCTCAGACCTAATATATACATATTCATATATGTGATGGTAATTGTTACATTTAATTAATTAAATAAAAAAAAAACCTATTATATTATAAAATATATAAATGATAAAAAAAATAATTTTTTTAATTGTTTCAATTTATGAATTTTTTCTCTATTACGATTGTGCCTGAGGGGATGAACAACCACGTCATTCTTATTCATGTTTCATTAGAAAAAATGTAATAACAATTATATGATAAATACAAGACCATCGACTTTAATAAATACCTAATACAACAAATAATTACAGAACAAAGCTCATCGATTTGAATTCTATCGTTCCATAGCAAACACTCATAGATAGAAAATCCGATACATAAATGAAACATCAACTAGAAAAGAGGCAAGAAGAAAATATCTTGTGATTCCACGCTAGTGACGTCATTGATCGGATATAAACCATTCTACTTGTTAGAGAAAGATTCATGATAAATAATGGAATTTTATAATAAACAGTGAATAATAATTGTGTACTTTCACCGGAATTTCTTTAGATTAGATTTAAATATATACATAACACATATACATATATACACAGAAATTCGAACTTTGAACCCAAAAAAGAATGTAAAAATTAGTTGAAACATTTTTTTTTTTATTTCTTCTTTGTGTGCGTGCAATGACTAACCATACACACACATTCGTATCAACGATAACTATGATTCGTATTATCTTCGCATACATTGTTCGTTAATGTTTGTGCTTAAGTCACGAGTTTATTCTCCTATGACGTTCTCTCAACAATAAAGTCGGTCAACCAACAGAACAACATGTGTTTTATAACTCAAAAGAACGATTGATAAAAGAAGACAATTTTTAGACTTTATTTTGGAACAAAAAATCTTTGAATAGATAATAAGAATATAATATAAGGATCAAATTCGGTCTCTACTCCAAACATATTTAAATTAAAATACGACAGAAGATGTTACAGAAGATAATTATAGAATTCCGCAGATAGCTCGTACATTGGTACAAGGAAATCACGGAAATTTCGTCGTAAATTCGATAAAGATTGGAGGAAATACCAAAGAAACACGAATAAAACAAGTCGAATTAAGTCCTTTGTATTTTCCTTCATAATTGAACAAATATACTAATAATATACTAGTAGTTTCTCAATCAGCTATTAAAAAAATATTTATATAGTATGTAATATTAATTTTGTTTACCATTTTAATGCAAAAATTTGTCTTAATTTAAATTATTTTAAATTTTTTGTCATTAGTTTCACGTACTAAATAATTGATTTTTTAAATAAACGCCTAAAAACATCAATCAATCAACTACATCAAATAAGACTGTTCTAGAATCAATAGTGAAGAATTCATCCTATAAGAGCACAATAATTCGGTTAAATTCCTAACAATCATCCATAGTACAATGACTATAAGATATGAAATAATGGAAGTACGAAGACACTGAGCTCACGAGATAGCTAAGAATCAATATCTCTCTCCGATAATTTACTCCTCAATTCTCTTTGTATTTAAAATATATTACTTAAATGTCATCGAAATACTATTATGTTCATCCAGAGAAATCCTGAAAATTGGAATGAAGTATTTTGTTTATTTTATATAGTAGGTTGGTGGTAATAAATAAAGGAAATAAATTATATATAGGATTAAGGAAAATAAAATCCAAATTTATTATCAAATTGTAATTATGTAAAACAAAACATATGATAATAGTAAAATAAATTTTATCACGGAACATTTGAGCCGATTATTTTGAAAGTGGCATAAGTCACTTTTTCAACAAAAATCGAGTGTAATGGCAACACTAATTACAATTATCTAATTATCTTTTCATTTAAAAAAGAAAAAAGAAAAGTGACTTATGCCACTTTCAAAATAAACGGCTTATTTATTGGCTTTTCAATGTTCACCAGAGAACATAGTTTGGAAAACGCTCTGTTAATCTACACCATCTCGTCAAAAGAACTGTCTTCTCTAATTCTATGAATCTCCCAAAGGTATGCATTGTAATAAAAAGGTAAGGATTGTATAGATATATAAATTTTGTCGGTGTAGAATGAAATTAATAGTTTCATTGAAAAGAAACGAAAAATAGATCGAGAAAGAAAGAAGAAAGGAGAGGAGAGAAGAAAAAGAATAAAGAGATAAAAGTGAACAGATTTTCGAAAAGATCAAAATGACCGAATAGAAGGAAATCAAACACAGCAACACAGATTCTTCGTTTCGTGGTGCTACGTGAATAAGAAATAAGGTCGATCGTTGCGCAACCAAAAGTTGCCGTTTGGCGTTAGATACTTTATAAAACGCAATGCAGAATGCGAAATGGAACGATACAACAAATGGCATCGAACGCGAATCATTCGCAACAAACAAGTATCATGTCTGTGTGTGTCATATGTCATTAATAATTATCCTATAATCAAACACACGATAAACAATATATAAATTCAACGAAGCGACTACGTCGCATGTGTTATATTAGATGTAAACCTATCCGACAGAATAAAAGAAAAAAAAACACGCGACACATTAAAATGAAATGAACGCTAAATTAATTCGGCGTTTGTAAATTTTCCCCAACGTCTGCGAGCATGTACACCATCATTATTTTTCCTCTCTCCGTTTAACGTTTTGCGAAACAAACACAGAGGAAATTCTTCGAATGTGTTTTTACATGCAAAAGCATATCCCGCGAGAGAAATAAAATAATGCGATGTGGGTTGAATGACATAAAAATATGCATATCTATTAATCGTATCTGAACGTCTTTCTCTTTCTTCAAGTTTTACGGCAATTTTTCATACACATATAATTTCTTTCATCATTTTTTTATAATTTATCCGGGAATATTTAATTTTTGAAATTTATTTTTCAATTAGGAACACTTTTGTATATTTAACGAATGGTTTGCGATTAAAATTGTAAGAAAACAATTTGAATAACTTAAATGAGCGTCATTTGAAATTTTATGCGAATTGTTCGTCTAAATAACGTCATACTTATTAAAAAATATTTATATATCGAGTGAGTATTATAACATCACGTTTTTAGGTACATACAATAATTCTTATTAAAGGTAAAAATCGATGCAAGTTCTCATCTCAACTTTATTTGTTTTATTCAATAGAAACAATTCATTTGTGTTCAATAAGCAGCAGGATCTTTGAAGAACCACGTGAAAAGATTCGAGAACGATCAATAACCACCCGTATATCTCATGAGTCAGTAAACCCTACAGATTATAATCATCACTAATTTAAACTACATAATTCGTTGAAAATAAAGTAATGAAAATCCACGAAAGTATGAAACTGTTTTGAGGTGCTACTTGACTTTGACCTTTTTTTCTACCAAGTTAATCTTAGGTTATTTATAATAACTGTGCCGCGCACGACCACGCAGAGTTCTCATCAAGAAATGAGAAACATTGTTAATAATAACAAGGAATTTAATGAAACATGAACGTAAACCATCAGTTTTTAAACTACATTCAAATTCATTCCTTCGTTTTTTCCTTAACTTTTCTTATATTGTAGAAATTACTATAGAGACAATGCATTCTTTGTTAAATGCTGAGATAACTAGTTACAAGAACCAATGCATACATATTCTCTGTAAAGTATTCGTTTATTCCTTTCCATTTAAAAAAAAGTAGACAAATAGATGAATAGTAAAAAGAAAATACGATACATAAAAATATATCTTCTGAAAAAACATACATTACCTCATGTCGCATACTTATTATATATTCTTATTAATTATCATATATATGAGAATATTATAACAGTATATTATGTATCACTTTCTATATATGCTATCAACAAAATATAGAGAATAAAGAGAATAATAATAATAACAAAAAAATGAACAGCTTAATTTTCCGAACTGATAACCACACAATTCTTAGCTAGTACTTCTCTAAATGAGACGTTCGATTGTAGTTTACAGACTAAACGTAATTCTACGTTGTGAGTTGGATGAACAAATTCATCATTGGCAAGCTGTTTACATTGAAAGGAAAATAGAGGAAATAGAAAAAGATAGAAAAACAGAAACAGAAACTGGTTAGAAGAAGAGAAACGAGAAGAAAGACAAAATAGAAGGAAGATATTTAGGAACGTGAAACATTGGGAATGTACACACACACCTTGGAATAATAAGACAAATTAAATTATTATCCCCGTATAAGTAAAGAAAAATATCAAGAAAAAAGAGAAGAAGAGAGAAGGTCAAATAGCAAAAACTCGTTAATAAATATGCTCGCTTTAAAGGCGGGCAATTCGAAGGAAAGACTAGAACTCACCTGCCTGGACGGACTCGAGGGTGCTTGCTAAATATAGCATTCCCAGCAGCACAAAACCAGCTCGTCTCTCCATCTCGTGGAGCTAATGTACGCGTTATCGCGTGACTGTGTGCGATGTGGGAGATATACCAAAGGCTTCCGTTTGCACGGGGACCTTATCGATATAGAAAAGAAAAAGGAAAAGGAGAGAAAAGGAGAAGAAGAAGAAGAAGAAAAAGAAGAGAAGAAAAAGATTTAGATGAAAATGAAGACGATAACGTTAAGGAATGATGAACCACGAAGAAAGACGAGACAAGACTTTCTGTAAGATTGAAAGTCTTTTTGTTCACTGTTCTGTCGTCCTCGTTGCTTTCGTTGTTGTTGCTCTCACAAAAATGTCAAGACTGTTCCGCTGTCCTGTCCTTGTTGTTACTCGTCACACAACGAGCAATCGTACGGAGTAGTGGTAAGATAGTAATACTAGTAATATTTCCTTCTTGTTTTACCAAAGGCAAGATGAAATTACGATCCACCAAAACTCGCTCTCTTCTAGCACCGTTTACACGCACACTCGACACTCTTGTGGCCGCCACGGCGTATCATTAGTGTCCGATACCTTATCGTTATCTCTTCTTTAATTCCTCTCTTTCTCTGTCTGTTCGTCTCTATTATCTCTCTCTCTCTCTTTCCCTCTCTGTCTGACTGTCTTTCTTTCTTTCTCTCTCTCTCTCTCTCTCTC